TCTCCTCTTGCGCTTTTGCCATCTAGCATTTCAGAGATCTTAGTTACAATTTTAAATCCATTATTCTTCAAAATGACATTCTACATTTTGGTTGCTATTGTTTGTTCAATTTTATTTGGAGCTTTTTGGTTTAAAGACTCAATTTTTTTTATGCATTTAATTGACTCTGATAATAACATCCCAGACGTCTCTAACTGAGTTATTTCCGAAGGTATAAATCCAAAGTTAGATTTTAAATAAATTAAATTTGTTTCCAAACTTGGGTTTAACACTTGTTCTATTGCGTCTTTAATTGCGACTGAATCATTTTTGTCTAATTCCAGAATCACTTTTTTTATATCAGATAAATGCTCACAATAATAATTTGCTGCGTTTATCCATGTTCCCCTGCAGCGCGTGAGTACGGGTTCAGGTGGCAAAGGAATTCCGAGAGCAATAGTTTTAAAAATTTGTACTCGATATGGCGCTTTCAGAAATACTTTTTTAACACTTGATATAAATTTATTTATATCTTGAAAATTTGTCCCAATTTCTTCAGCCAAGCTATGAACCGCATGTGCCATGCAAATTACGCGTGTATCATTTTGGAATATAGGTTTTGTATAACTTTTCCTGCTTTTAACATGTATGGAGCTGCGTCAGATAAAAAAAGTAAAACGTTGACCAAGAGGCCATAGTATAAACATAGATTTATCAAATATTTTGACGATTGTTGAATTATTTTATTAAGAGCACTCGTTTAATCAATATATAACACTCAAAGAGTAAATCTTATCGGAACGCGATAAAATGATATAAATTTTTACTAATTGTCCAAATCCAAAGTTAGATTTTAATAAATTCAATTTGTTTCCAAACTTGGATGTAACATTTGCCCTAAAATCTATAATTTGTGAAAAATGCCCTACATTGTATAAAAAGTACAAAAAATGCCTTAAAAGATGAAAAAATGACTTGAAAATGACGTTAAAAAACAAAAAAATGCAAAATAAAATTAGAATATTCTGCATCAAGGGAGTATGAAACAAATTTTTAGCTAGGATAGAATTGTACAGAATAAAAGAAAATAAAACGCAAAAGTCATCAACATCCTAACTCTAGTGATAAATATATTTTAGATTCTAAACAGCAATGAATGTATTGATTTTATTAAACAAAAATTT